ACTCGATGGTATCATTGAGTTTTCAGTCCTATTGCCAGAGCGTCGCCCAGCATCACTTCCTGGGGTTGGAATGGTGTGTTACAGGGAGGAATGGTCCAGCCGGGGAGCATGTTTCTCCCGCCGGATCACGGTAAGTACTTAGGAACCCTAGTTTATACCCATAGTTGTGGTGAAAAGTGCTGTCAAGTCACAGCTGACTTACAGTGACCCCGTAGGATTTTCAAGGAAAGCGACATTCAGGGGTGCTTTGCCATTGCCTGCCTCTGCATAGCAACCCTGGACTTCTTTGGTGGTCTCCCATTGAAGTACGAACCAGGGCTGACCCTTCTGAGTTTGGAGATGAGATGAGATGACGTTAGCCTGGATAATCCAGAGCAGGGCAATATGCACAGACTCAACACTAATAACAATTCAATGGAGGATATCCAAAGGAAACTATTTGCTCCATGGATCGTACCTGGATAGGTTGTGTTTTTGTTTTCTGAAGAGATGTTAAATCTGTACCTGAGAAGGTGAGGTGGTATAAGCAATTTTCAACTCCTGGGGAAGATGAAGAAGAGTGAGTTTAGGATGATGGGAGAACATTGCTTTATCATGTTTATCTGTGTCAGCATCTCATTAAAAGTTAGATGGGGTTTTTAGCGGAGATTTGACTCCTGGGACACACAAAGCCAGAAGAGAGTTCTTTTGGTTTTGAAAACATGAATGATTGATTAAATCTCAGGAGAGAGAACTATTAAAATTATTTACAATGAAAAGTACTGCACAAATTTAAAATGGACCGTTTTTGATCAGGATATACAAATATGCTATGCCAGCCCCCCGTATCTCCCCAACCGATGGCAGATTTTCCCCGCCAAATCTTCAGTTCCCCTCAGATCACTGAGTTGCCCTACAGTAGCATGTATATCTTCTCCATTCCTTTTATATAAACTTGAAACTGCCCTACCCTTTGTTTAAAATGGACCGTTTTTGATCAGGATATACAAATATGCTATGCCAGCCCCCCATATCTCCCCAACCGATGGCAGATTTTCCCCGCCAAATCTTCAGTTCCCCTCAGATCACTGAGTTGCCCTACAGTAGCATGTATATCTTCTCCATTCCTTTTATATAAACTTGAAAGTGCCCTACTCTTTGTTTAGGTATTGGCTTGGGTTTTAGACCGAGTACAGGAACTTGAGGGAAAGATAGGAACTGTCCTGTTTGATAAACCCTTGTGAAATGGTACTTGAGGCAAATTAAGTTGCAAAAACAGAATAAACATTTTATTAAAAAGGCAGGAAATATAGGTATGTTAAAAATAGTCAAGGTGTTGAGATTGCTGAGGTAAAAACTTATATATACAGAGTTGAATTCTTAGAACATTCAAGAGAGTGTATTCATAGTTTTGTTTCAAGGTTTTCTAGTTCTTTCTTTGAGTGGTTCTTTGTTTAGTATATTCTCCTTGTCCCTATGAAGCAATAACTCATTTTACTATTTGGCTTGTATGGGAGTTCACTCTAACTACCCAGAGCTTCTGTCAAATCCTTCTCCAGTATCCTTTGTCTGTATATGGTTGTTCTGAATTCTCCCTCAGAGCATTTTTAATATATTTAAGAAAAGGGGATTTCTCTTCTCTGTAGAAGTACATTTCTGACTATTGCCTGTCAGAAAACACTGACTCCCAAATGTCTCTTCCCTCAGAAGCCAAACCATCAGTGGCTATTAGCCACAAGGTATAGATAGGAACTCTCAGTCTGGGGCAAGGGATGCTCTGTATTCTTGGTGCTTGGGGGGGGGAGTGGGAGGGCTTCTAGTGTTCTGGCCCCACTGCTGGACCTGATGGCACCTGGTTTTTTTTGCCACTGTGTGACAGAGTGTTGGACTGGATGGGCCTTTGGCCTGATCCAACATTGGCTTCTCATATGTTCTTATGTTCTTCGGCTGCTGATGCAGACCATAGATTTCAGACAAAGACCAAAAGCAAAAGACATATTTTCTCTCCAGATCAGCTGTTTTATTTATCTCTCTTCTGAGGTTGGCCAATCAGAGAGTGAGCAGAGCAGCCAATCATATAAGCTCTTCTCTCGAGAAAAGATTAACTCATGAACTCCCTGACTCTCTGACACAAGCAGTTTTACTTGTTTATTTTTAGCTGAATGTTGTCATTATTTTACACAATTTCATAGCCATAGGTCCTTTTTTTTGTTTTCTTCCATTTTATATCCTGTGAGATCCATCAGTAGAGCTGAGCTTACCTAGAAGGAATTTCCTACCCCCCACCCCCAGCTGCATCTCAAAAAAATATTTCCGGAGATCGGGTACCTTCATGGACAACACAGCAAGAAGAAAGAGCCTAGAGGACACAAATCACCATTTTAATCTCATATATCATTTTATACCATTTTTATGCTGAGGCATCCAGTTCTATTACATTTCATAAGTGAAATTTCATCCTGATTGGGGTTTGTGTGCTCACAACATTTATTACGATATCTAATTTGGGATGGGCCCTGCTCATATCTTTCACAGCAACACAACGTAGAAAATTAATAAGTGACATTTTTCACAGATGGGGCAATTGTGTGTGTGTGTAGGGGGGGATTCACCAATGAAATTGCTCAATCAGGCTACAGTAGGGAGCCGAGCCACAGCTGCCTTTTGTTTGCCTTTGTTTGGCGAATCCACCCTGGCTCCAAATTTGACCAGTGGCCCTGCTTAACCTTGCCTGCATGTGATGTGCTGCAAGGTTCCAAGCCCCATTCCCCTTCCCTGTTGCACCATAAAGCCAGTACCAGGTTTGAAAAGACGTTGCTCAGGACCAAGCACACTCCTCCCCAAGCCCCATCTCACCATAAAGCCAGTGATGGTCAGTTCCAATCATGCCCTCCATCACCAGGCCTAATTACTGGCTAATCCTACAGTATCCCACAGGAGAGTGGGTGGGTCAGCAGCAGACACCAAATGCCTGCATGAAGGGGTGTAGCTTATCTAAGCTCCAGCCCTGGCCAATTATCGTCTTGTGTCTCATTTGGCAGAAAGGAGCTAGGATAAACATGTCCATGGCTGCTAATGCTATGTATGCCACTTTAACCATCAAAAAAGATTGTTCTCATCTAATCTGAGATGTGCATAGGCAAAAGCCATGTGGGCCAAAGGCATAAATAAGGAGGAAAATTAGGTGAGATTGAGAGGAAAAGCAGACTAGATCCAAGCTGCTGATGTATGTGGAACCCTGGAAATTAGACAAGGAGTCACCTTGTCATCCAGGGTTAAAGCATAATTAAAGCGCTTCTATTTTGCCACATCAGAAATTTTTCAGACTCAGGTCTGCTTCATCAGATGGATGAAATGTTATGTTCAGTTGACAGTATCTCCAATTATTTGTAAACCTTTCTTCTCTTTAGAGGAACTATAAGGACTTTTCCCATCTTTCTTAGCTCTAGCCATTGCTAAGACAGTTTTGGTGGCCAAAATGTCAATGACATAATTAGTATTAACAAATAAGAAAAATCATGAAGCCTTCTAGATTTCCTCTGCTTTCTCATAAAAACTTAAGAGAACATAAGGGAAGTCAATGGCTCATCCAGTCCAACACACTGTTTCACCCAGTGGCCAACACCAAGGTGCCATCAAGAGGTCCACCAGTAGAGCCAGAACTCCAGAAGCCCTCCCACTGCTGCTCCCCAAGCATCAAGAATACTGTGCCCCAGACACAGTGTTCTCAGTCCCTAGGAAATGTAGAAATGGGACCAGATTTCTCAAACAAAGATGATGCTGTGATTTTCTTGATCACTGTCTCTTTGGTTGTGCACAAGGCTATCCCTGTACTTCTGACATTAGCCACCATGTCATGAGAGAGCATGTGGACATGACTGAGCACAATATTGACCTTTCTAGGAATATTTTCCTTTATGCATATTGACATGTGTAAATGGGAACATCTCCTACTACATTCCCAGTCTTTGTTAGGGACTCTTGCGTAGGATAGATCATAATGGAATGTTGTGGATGTAGGGTTGCCACGTCTGAATGCAACACCGGTGGGGTGTGGAAGGGAACTTTCCAGGAGTGGGGGGAACACCGAGACATGCTGACATCACATGAAAGTGGCATCATCGCATCAGGGATGTTGCACAGTGATGCTCTGGTTTTTGGTAAAAACTTTACAGTATAATCAGCCTCAAATCATACAGTTTTCCCCAAATACAAGATCATCAATGTACAGCATCCCTAACATGCTGACATCACTTCCATGTGATGTCAGTGCATTGCTGTTTCTGGGTGGGACTTCCTTCTGCTCGCCAGGTGGCCAGTGGTGGGCAGAAGCCCAAAAAACTGAAGGTCCCCCTCCTCCCCATTGGGGAATGGCAGCCTTCTGTGAATCATCACTTACAACATGTTATTCTGTTCTTTCTTCATGTGTCACCTGTACATCATGAGGTTCATTGTGTCTACCCTGACAAGCAAGCTGCCAAAGTGGTTAATAAAGTCAGGTTTATCTCATGAAGGGTAATAGAAATCTATCAGGAAATCTGTCCCAGTTTCTGGCTATGGATTACATGGATGCACTCATCTCCTCAAAATTTTTATTATTTTTACTGAATATGACTTGAACAAGAAGAAGAAAATATCATCAAGTTGTAACCAACTCATGACAACCCCATCTATGGTGTGTTCGGGGGAAGAGACGAGCAAAAGTAGTTTTCCATTGCCTTCCTTTGCATAGCAATCCCATTCTTCTTTGGCAATCTCCCAACCAAGTGATATATTGGACAACTCTGCTTAGCTCCCAAGTGCTGATGAGCTCAGATTAAGCTGGGCTATCCAAACTGCTTGAGTTGAACAAAGATATAGGTAATGGGGGCAGAGGGGAGAACATTAAAGGATCATCTTAGATACACTTCAACAGGGATGCAGCCAGTGCAGTGACTCTACAAATCTTAATGAATGCATCTTGGTCAATCAAGAGTATGAAAGAAATGTGGGGACAGGAAACCAAGAGGGGGAAAATAAATTCATATCCTTCCAAACAAATGTTTTCGGCTGAAGATTTTTTTCAGAGCAGATTTTACCTCTTGATTTCTCAATGTGTAGATCAGAGGGTTCAAAACTGGAGTGACCACACTGTACAATATAGTGATGATCATCTCTCTTTTAGAAGATTCCCCAACGGATGCAAGCAAGTAGTTGGAAAGAACTGGAACATACAAGAGAGCCACAACCGTCAGGTGGGAGGCACAAGTCGAGAAGGCTTTCCAACGGCTCTTCCAGGACTGGACTTTGAAGAAGAGGAAGGAAATGATGTACAAGTAGGAGAAAAGAGTGAGGAAGAAACCACCCATAGCAATGCAGCCAGTCACAATATTAAGGAGGCTGAGGTTGAGGGTGGTGCTACTGCAGGCCAATTTTAGCAGAGGTTTGATATCACAGAGGAAGTGCTGAACATGATTGGGGCCACAGAACCGTAACAGAGAGGTCGCCATAGTATGCATCAAGGCATGAAAAAAGCCAGCAGTCCAGGTGGCCGCAGCTAGCAGCAGGCAAGTCAATTTATTCATGATGACTGTGTAACGCAGAGGGTTGCAGATAGCCACGTAGCGATCAAATGCCATAACCCCCAGAAGGATGCCCTCACCACTGCCCAGGAAGTAAAAGAAATGCAACTGAACCAGGCATCCAATGAAAGAAATTGCTTGGTGTTCTGTTAAGAAGCCATTCAGCATTTTGGGCACCGTAACAGTGGAGTAGCAGATGTCCAGGCAGGACAGATTGCCTAGAAAAAAATACATAGGTGTATGGAGTCGAGGCTCAGCTATAGCGACAGCCAGAATGGCTCCATTTCCCAGCAAACCACCCAAGTAGAGCAGCAGGAACATCACAAAGAGAGTGTACCGCTCCCTGTGGTCATCTGTAAGACCCAGGAGAATGAACTCATGCACTTCAGTCCGGTTCTCCATTGCTGTGGAAAGAAAACAACAACAGCAAAGCCAGTTACTCTGTTCCAAATGGAATGGAAGTCTTTGAAAAAGAAACCAGAACAGGGATAGCTACGGACCTATTGAGTTAGTTGTTTTGTGGTTCTCCAGTAAAAAAAAAAAAGAGTGTCATACAAACATAACACATGCTTGCTTGTTTTAGTTCCCCAGTTACATTTACATTTGACACATTCATAATGCAGCATTCACACTAGCATAGAAAAAAGTTTTGCATTGATAGCCCCTGGATAGCTGGCTTTCCAGAATAATGATGGAACTGTAATGATCAATTGCTGTGGAAATACCTTTTTAACAAAGCAGAGTTAAATCAAATCAACATTGACTGATCTCCAAGAAAGTATTTAGTGGAACATTACGAATTTTAAATTTCATGTTCGAATGTTATTTATTTATTTATTTATTTAATTAATATTTAGATTTCTATCCCGCCCTCCCCACAGGCTCAGGGCGGCTAACAGGGCATAATGCCAGATAAAACAATAAAACAATATAAAATGTTAAATTACACATAGACAATCAACAAACAGTTAAATAACATCCTAAAACAATTTTCGTGCTCCTCTATTCAGTTCCAGATGTTAAGATTATATTTAAGAGCAAGATGGCATTCTCAGTAACATAGCTAGACAACTACGGCAGTGCCTATCCCACTGCCCTGCCGTCCCCTAAAAGACGTCCCATTCCCTCCAATGATGCCCACATCAGGATGGCAATATGCAGAAATCATAGGGCGTTGGTGGAACAATGATGGTGGCAGTTCCTATCCGAAAGCCTGGCGGAAGAGCTCCATCTTGCAGGCCCTGTTAAAATGTTAGGTTTAAAAAACGCACCATAAGAATGACTGAGAAAGAATCTCTGAATGCTACAAAGGGTGGTTGCATGTGAAACAAAGAAAAGTGTTGATTAACATGCTACACTCTTCAGATGAAAAGTTTGTAGTTGAATTCCCCTTTGCAATCATTAAGAAGGAAGTAGGCATCCTTTTTCCAGTATATACAAGAAAATGAGGAAGAGGAGCATTTTTAAGGGAAGACAAGCTATCCTGGAGGTGATTATGGAAATAAAGGTAAAGGTTTCCCTTGCTTGAAAGCTAGTCGAATCCAACTATAGGGGGCGGTGCTCATCTCCATTTCCAAGTCGAAGAGCCAGTGCTGTCCGAAGACTTCTTCATTGCCATGTGACTGGCATGACTAAATGCCAAGGCATACAGAATGCTGTTACCTTCCCACCAAAGTGGTACCTATTTACCTACTTGCAATTTCTTGCTTTTGAACTGCTAGGTTGGCAGGAGCTGGGACCAGAGACAGGAGCTCACTCCATCACATGGCACTACATTCTCGAACTGCCGAACTGCAGACCTTTCAGTCTGCAGCTCAACGTCTTAACCTTTAAGTCACCGTGGCCACTTCAATTATGGAAACAGGGACAATTAAATTGGCAGTCGTGAGAATCCTGCAAATATTGAGGTCAATTCTTTCTTTCTTGGCTGTAATGGGAAGATACCAAATTATTTAAATAAGTAGATAAATAAGTATCTAGATATTTATATCCCACCTGATGTAAATCAGGCAGCTTCCAACATCATCCTCTCCTCCATGTTATTTTTACACTAACCTCATGAAGTAGGTAAGACTGAGAAAAAAGAACTGGTCCAAGGTCACCCAGTATGTTTTCATGGCATTGTAGGGATTTGAATGGGGTCCTCTCAGATGCTTGTCTGATGCTCTAAGCAGTTCCAAGCCAGGTTTTACTTTTGTCTCTGTCTCCCCACCCCCAGCCAGAATCTAGGGAAGCTACCATAAAGACTGTGGTGGGCCTCCTCTTATTTTCTTTCTTGACACTGTTTTGTTCCAAATAGTCATATTCTGTTTACCTGAGAAGATTGTCAGCATATTGTGGAATGGCTCCTGCATTTTACCAGATTACCCCACTGATGCTGAAAAACCAATCGACAAGGGAATTGATCTTCTTATCTTATCTGCACATTCACACTTACTTGCCTTTTCAGAATTCACAAAATAGTCGTAGTCTATGCAATATCTGAGAGGGTTGTTTTTTTTAAAAAAAGCAACCCAAATCTCTTCTTATTTCCTATTCTAACTGCTATTCATTTTTCTCTGTTGCCTCCAACCACCATTGGCCTCTCCAGTCTTTCCATGATAGGCATATCAAAATCAGGCAACAGAAGGAAGACGGCAATGTGTCCCCCCTTTCCTACGGAAACATTTGATGCCATGACTGTCATCTCTTATAATTTCTCATTTACCAACTGTAGCCAAGCTATTGTTGGAGATGTCAGCCCAGAAGTGAGCCATTATATTGATATATACATTCAAAGCATGTTTATGCCACTCCACGTCTTGTAATGTATGTCTTCTACTGTTCAGAGCTTGTTGAATGTTTCTCTTCTTTCTGTCGTGTTTCTCGTCTTCCTGTAAATTCTTATATCCTGAAAGGCTCTCTGCTACTTAAGAACAAAGTTTTCATTTATTTTTTGTTTTTGCACTTCAATTGTTTAAGAGAACTTAGAGACTGTAACTCTACATGGCTGGAACTGGTGTATTTTCTTAGTTCTGCTAATATCTGTAACCTTTTTTAGAAACGATAGGGTAGACATGTTGGTCTAAAGCAGAATAACAAAGTTTGAGTCCAATGGCACCTTTGAGACCAACAAAGTTTTATTCAAGATAGAAGCTTTCATGTGCAAGTACACTTCTTCAGATATAGAAGAAGTAATACATTGCAGGCATGAGCACTGAGAAATTCTCCACAGATTCTATTATATCTATTATATTATACAACTGAACAGATAAACTGGCTTGTATGGTAGGTTATGGCTGTCCACTTTTCACCTGGCAACTGCACCTATGTCTTGACATGGGCAGTTATCAGGCAGAAGAATGACATGGAGAAAAGCATTATTACCTGCTAAATGGTGCAAATTTAGCTGCTTCTAAGGATACAGAATAGGGAACCGTGTTTTAGTACTCAATGGGAAATGCAGGAAGACATTCCAGACATGTAAAAACTACATTTTGCTTGTTTTCTTATACCTACCTCACTTCTGTCACAGGGTAGGATCCTACTGGCTTATACCCCATGTAAATGAAGGAAAAGAGGCCTTTGTTAACCCCCCCAAAAAGGCTTTGCTTAGGGTCATGGGGCCTGCATGGACAAAAGTCATGGGATGACAGCTGTAGTAAGAGGGAGAATTGGATGAGATTGAATGAAAAACCTTGCTGATTTCCACCCACTATGTAATTGGAGGCATTTATACTTCATACTTTCCCCCTTTCTGCTACTCAACTAGGCAAGAGAGGACATGGGATGGAGTATGAGAGAGCCTTGAAGCTGACAATGTTTATACCCACAGTGGTGGTGGATAGTGCTGTCAAGCCACAGCTGACTTATGGCAACCCCGTAGGGTTTTCAAGGCAAGGAACATTCGCAGGTGCTTTGCCATTCCCTGCCTCTGCATCACAACCCTAGACTTCATTGGTGGTCTCCCATTCAAGTACAAACCAGAGCTGACACTCCTTAGTTTTGGGAACTGATGAGATCAGGCTAGCCTGGGCTATCCAGGGCAGGGCAATACACAGAGATTCAACACTAATAACAGTTCAATGGAATATGAAAAGAAATATCCAAAGGCAACTATTTGCTCCCTGTCTCATACCTGGATTGGTTATGTTTTTTGTCTTCTGAAGAGGTTAAACCTGTACCTGAGAAGGTGAAGTGGTATGAGTAATTTTCAACTTCTGGAGAAGATGAAGATGAAGAAGAGTGGGTTTAGGATGATAGAACATTGCTTTATTATGTTTATCTGTGTCGACATCTCATTAAGGGGGAGAAGTTTTTTTGTTTTTTTTTAAGAGGAGGTTTGACTCCTGGGACACACAAAGCCAGAAGAGAGTTCCTTTGGTTTTGAAAGCATGAATGATTGCTTAAATCTCAGGAGAGAAAACGATTAAAACTATTTAAAATGAAAAGTGCTGCACAAATATATTTGAGGTGGACATTCTCTTTTTACCAGGATATACAAATAGGCCCTTACTTGTTTATTTTTGGCTAGGTGTGTTGTCATTGCTTTATCCATTTTCAGATCCAATTTCAATTGTTTTCTTCCATTTTATATCCTAAGAGATCCATCAGTGGAGCTGAGCATACCTCGTAGGAATTTCCTACCCCAACCCCCCGGAGATAGGGCACTCTCATGGACAACACAGCAGACCAAAAAATAAAATGGTTTGGAGGACAAAAATCACCACTTTAATATCATTTTGTACCATTGCTATGCCGAGGCATCCCATTCTATTACATTTCATCAGTGAAATTTCATTCTGATCTGGAAGAACCCATTTCAGAAACTGGGGTTTGCAAATGAAAACATTGTGCTCACAATATTTGTTAACATCTCTAATTTGAGAAGGGCCCTGCTTGTATCTTTCACAACAATACAACATAGGAAATTATGAAGTGACCTTTTTCCTGAATGGGGAAATTGCGGGGGAAACTTTCACCTGGCTGAATCAGGCTACAGTAGGGAGCCTAGCCACAACTGCCTTTTGTTTGTCTTTGTTTGGGAAAATCCATCCTGGCTCCATCCTGACCAGTGGCCTTGCTTATGCTTTCCTGTGCACAATGTGCAACAAGCTTCCAAGCCCCATTCCCCTTCCCTGTTACACGGTAAAACCACTACCAGGTTTGAAAATGTCACTCAGCGCCAAGAGCATTCCTTTCCAAGCCCCATTTTGTCATAAAGCCAATGATGGTCAGTTCCAATCATGCCCACTATCACCAGGCCTCATTACTGGCTAATCCTACAGTGGTTAACCCTATAGTATCCCATGGGAAGGTGGGTCGGTCTGCAGCACACAGCAAATGCCTGCTTGGAGGGGTGTCGTTTGTCTAAGTAGCTGCACTGCTGCCCTTTGACTGGAACACTTCCAGTCCTGATCAAT